ACCAATATAAAAGATACTGGTAACATAAAATTACTCATGGGCCAGATGTGACCTGTGGATTCCCTCTAACAGTTCAGTATAGATACACAACTGGCATATATAACTGCTTAAGCAGTGAAACTACCCCATCTCCAAATTATAGAATAATATCTCAACAATATGTTATATATGAAATGTAACTAGGGCATAGTGAATGCTAGTCATAGCTGCTATGATTTCCTTATTCAGTGCTTACCAATTCTGTAATAATGATCCAATTTATCCCATAGAGTTTCATTACCAGCCCTTGGAAGATTAATGCTTTTAAGAGGTTCATAAACTGAGCCTAAAAGGAAAAAAAAAAATGCATCAAATTAAGTCATTTTTACCCAGATAAACAAAGAAATTTTCTAAATAAATGAAAATGCAATACGCAACAATATACTTTTCAGCTTCATTTCTGAACTACTCTATTCATCCCTGGTAAATTTTTCAGTAAGAGAAGACTCTTAACAGGCACAGAAGAACCCTAAATGCTGGCCTACCCTCAAAGCCAGCATTCCATCCAACAATGTGCTATATACACCAGGCCTAAAACCCTGTACCCCAATACTCTGAAGTGATCAGAAGCTCAGAGATTTCTCATCAATGAGAAATAAATCTAACTATAGATTCTTAAGTCTAAACCACAATACTTGTGGCAATATTTAGGTGAGCAATTATCAGTGGAATAATCACACTTCAAATACCTCAAACAAGAAAGTTAAGGCTCACACCCCAGAGCCACCCATTCTATGTTTCTGCAGATAATACACTCTACAGCCACCCATTCTATAAATATTCAGCCATGTTTCAGCAGTTCGCTCACTCCAGAGCCTTACATTCTATACATATTCAGCTATGTGTCAGTAGATCACACACTATAGAGCCATCCACTCTATATTCAACTCTTTCATACAAAAAATTTTTTGAGTAGAAAATATATTCATTTTATTTTTTTAAATAATTTTTATTTTTTTATATTAATCACAATTATTTACTTTGTATCCCAGCTGTAGCCCCCTCTCTCATCTCCTACTAAAATTTTTAAACTTCCAAGTTCTCTTGCATTATCATCTTGCCATCATGCAAAACTCACTTCTATTTCTCAGTCATGGAAACTATTCTAAGGCATTAGCAGAGCATGCTGCTCAAAAGCTACAAAATACCCAATAACCGTGATGCTCTGCCACAGAATGAGTACAGAAAATTGAGCACTTGACGATGCAGCTACTACACGAAAAGGATAAATCTGAACCTTCAGCCATCAGACTGAGTACTGTCTAAAAGCACTCAGAGATCATAGCATCTCAAGGTCATAATTAACTGATCCCTAAATTCAGACAGTACGTACCACATAGTTTAAAAGTGCAGTACAAGAATTAACTTACCATTTATCCAAGTGGGACAAATCATATTGACATAAATTAAGAGTCTATTTTTAAATAAAATAAAATCAGTTATGATCATAAAATTACTAGTCTGATACGTTAATTTAAAGCCAGACTAGGGCTGGGAGATGTCTCAGCAGGTAAGGTTGCTTGCCATCTAGCTTAACAACCTGAGTTTGATGTACAGACTCACACAGTGGAAGGAGGAAAAAAATGACTCTCTGTTGTCCTTCGACCTCCACATGAGACAGCATTGCATGCCTACTACTGCCATCAAGAAAACAAATAGAAATTTGAAATACTATGCTCTGAGTTAGGACATTTTCTAAAGGGTCTTACTACTAGAACCAACTGGAATGGCTCCATGATTGGGAATGAAGACCTTTGCATACACACAGAGATCATCAGAATAACTTCCTTCCAGCTATACTGGGAACAAGAGCCTGGTTCTGGTCTCTGCCATAGCAGAGGGCAGACAGAAATGTAAGCAAGGCTTATCATCTACGGGAGAATAATGGGGACACTGCTAATTAGTAAGGTATTGACATTTTGGGAAACTGTACATTCCCAGTGACATTCACCTAAGAGAGAAGCACCGATGTAGATGATCACAACTTGATGAGCATGAATGTGCAGCCTAACAACACTGTTGCTTGGAAGGAAAGATTCTGAGCAAATAATATCTTTGTTTTTACTTATTATCTTCTATACTATAAAGGTAATATTTTTATATGTGAAAAAGAAAATTTGAATATATAGGGACTTGGGAAGAAGCCTCAGTTGTTGGTAAAGCAGTTGCAACATAAGCATAAGGACCTGATGTGGAATCCTCAAGGTAAAAAGTGGAGTGTACATTTATGTTCCCCCAGTGCTGGTGACAGACCTCCTTGATCAGCCAATCTAGCCAAATTTGTGAGCTCCATATTCAACGAGAGAATCAGTCTCAAAAACTAAAGAGTGCCAACAATCTGAAGTCAAAGGAAAAGTAATCAGTAGTAATATTTTATTTTATTTTATTTTATTTTATTTTATTTTATTTTATGTCTGAAACAGAATCTCACCCAGCATCTACAATGTGTACTTCATAACTGCCTGTAACTCCAGCACCAAGGGTTTCTGAAGTCTCTGCGACTACCTGTGTTCATGTGTGCACACATATTCACACAATTAGAATAAAATAAATATGTATATTAAAATAAACATATGAAAGAAGTCAGTTGACAGAGGATTGAAACCCTTCACACCTGGGCTCTATGCAAGAGCACCTCAGGATATACAAACATGATGTAAACACGTGCTCCATGAATGACTTTTAGCTTCCTGAACCTTTGGCTTAGTGCTTTTTGGCATATGCATTCACCCAAATTCTTAATACACTGTCTCCATTTCTATTACATTAATATACAGCCCTGTGCTATTCTGGCTATGCTGAAATACAAGAACCTGCAAACTTTAGTGGGTACCCTCCAAATTCTGAACTTTTTTCTTTTTTCTTTCTTTTCTTTTTTCTTTTAAAGCAGAATATAGCCTGAAAAGGATAGGCACAAAATTCTTTTAAACATTTCTTCCTTCTTTAAACAAGGGCATGCAATACACAACCATTCCTTTCTTCCCCCAGCTCTTGGTAAGTGTGAACAGGCTCCAGCAGGGAAGAGGGTACAGCATAGGGTACCTCTCCCCTCTGCTCTGTCTGAAGCTTGGGAGTGTGCATGGAACCTCTCCCCTGCTCTAAAGGGCATTAGCTGAATTTACGTTAGGGCAAAAAGTGCATTCACCAGCAATGGTTGCCAATCCTGGACGTAAGATTGGGAGACAGCTGCCATTCAGGATCTACATTTAGTCTGTGAGAAGTTTCACCTGGGATTTTATGCCCTGGTTGTAAATATACCAATGCTCTCATAGAGCTGTCCATTGAACACAGGTAAAGGCAAGGAAAGACGGCAGTGTCCAAGTGATTGCCTAATTCTATTTGGCCCCCAAAGCACCACCATAATCCTGGTATTTTCCAGGATTTGTGGGAAGCTTTTGTTTGTGTACATTAGTTTAAAGTTTCCCAGACACCAGTGTTAGCTGCCACTCCAAGTCCAACCCTGTTACCCATAGGTTCCTTCATGCTCACTGGCTCCTAGTAGTAACTGGTTTTCTACCACTGTGACCTACTGAAACTGTGAGCAATGCTATTTGCTAGGGTATGGGAATGATGCCCTGGGTAAAACAGATGTTCCTTGAGCATTAGGTCCAAAGGAAAACCCCAGCCATCTGAACTTTTAACCTGAATGGTGACTTGATACAACAAAAGCCTAAGGCATTCATAAAAGTAAATCTCATCTCTGATGTTAGCAGCTTACTGGTCCAGTAAATTAGTTAGCTAATTAGTTAATACAGCAGAGCTCCCAATAAGACAGACCTAATTCTACAACGGTAAAACATACATTCTAATCTTTTGGGAGCCAGGCCAACTCAAAGCTTCCTCAGTGGCCCTGGTGAAAGGACAAAGGAAACACTTCTGTGTCCTTGCCCCAGGACAGATTTGGCAAGGATTGGTCTGGGCCTGGGGTCAGGGCCTCAAAGTTTTGAGGAACCTGGGAACCTGGCTTTCCCCCACAAAGTTATCAGTCTTAATGCTGCTATGTCTAAAATATCTTGCATTCTCTTGCCAACATGGACTTCGCTCTCTGCTGACCCTGGCCCATTTCCCCACTGCAAACCACATAGAAGATGCTGTACTTCTTAATAAACCTGTTTGACACAATCCATTGGGTATGGAAGACCTCCTGGTACCAGCTGTCTTGTCTTCTTGATTTTTTCATCCCCTGCCCTCTCCCTTAGGAACCTGTCACAGAAGGACTTGCTGACTGGTCCAGGGAACTAGCCCATCTTCCTTTCTTAAGGACAACTGAAGGAACCAAGCCCTAGTATGCCCATCTTACATTACAGAATGGAAAGTATCTAATGAAGCAGACTGGCAGAAAAACAAAACGCAGCCTTAAAGATCACCCAAGAGTTAACTTATTCCTTCCAAAGATAGACACAAACCTTATATGTTGTTAATGTAACCACACTGTGTGTTCATAATTGTTTTCCCATGGCTATTTGTATGCTACTCTTTGTTAAGACAGAAGGGAATAGAACTGAATTTGTCCCTAGAATTTCCCCAAACAACTAACAAAGCTTTTGGCTGCTCTAACAATTTATAAATAATTTTTAATTTGTGCTTTTCCTATTTTTATTTTTTAAACTTTTTTGCCTAATTTAGCAATGTGTGTGTATACGTGTGAATTCTAGCTTTAAGGGAAATATACCAAAAGGCCTAGTAAGTACATATTTATAACCTTAAACACCATTATTTTCGTAAAACATTTGAAATGGTATTTGGGACACTATTAAATGTATTATAAACCTTTAAAGTACTACTTGTTTCTATAGAATAACATTCACAGGAATCATTAAAGAATGACTGTTAAACTAAGAAATTTTACACTGGATACATGGGCTTGGGTAATGATTTCCTTCCAAAAGAGGCTCTAAATGAAATAATCTGTTTTTTTATCAAAGATAACAGGCAAATTATAAAAAATGCTTTCTGTTAATCAAAATATTCTTCAGTTAGCCTGGAAAGATGCTCAGTAGGTAATACACTTGTCATCTAAGTATGACAACTTGAATAAGGATCTTCAGAACCCAAATAGGTGCATAGTAGCATTTGTAGTCCTACACTCACACAGAGAGCTGGGGCAGGAACAGGAGGATTTCTCCCATTGTGTGAGCCAGCTAGGCTAGCATATGCAGCTTTGAACAAGAGACTCCACTCCAAACAAGGTGAAGGCTAGGAATAGTGACCATACTCATAGCTTGGCACATACCCACCTGTGCACACATGTATTTATACAAACACACTCACACACATACGTGACCA